GTGTGTTCGGGGACAGTCTGGAGGTTAGGGTGTGTTCAGGGACAGTCTGAAGGCTGTAGTGTGTTCAATGAAAACTTACCCAGAGCTCCCTGGCAGATGTCGGTCCTGGTGGCTCCACCCATGATGAATTCAGGATTAGAGACCAGTTCCTGACAGACGAGAGACCAGAAACTGACTCAATATTCAATGCCCACTGTTAACTTTCCATAAATAGAAGTTAATAACAGCCATTTCAAACAGAGGCACTGGCTTAGGGGCCCCATGACCTTCGAGACCCCCAGGACTATCTGTCCATTATTAGATGGTCCATTCTGGTCCTAAGTTAGTCTCAGTCCTGTTTGAGCCCCAGTGGTTAGTGGACACTTTTACTTAAACTTTTTTCCTGTTTAAATAATTCCTGAAATTCCTGAGACCTGTAGGACTCTAAATCCTGTGGCTGACCTTTTCAAAGTGACAGTTCCTCTCAGCTCTCAATGTTTCTGTGTTCTCTTTCTACAACTACAAGCTCCCTCACATTATTAAACACCTTGAATCTACTTTCATCTACTATCTTACACTGTTTAAATAGATACGTAGATATTACAGTCACTGTACCGTTACAACTCTTATCAGTTATCAGCACTATCACTGTATAGATTTACTGTTTGTAGTTCAGATTTGAGATATTCTGTCTAAAAACTGTTGCTCTCAGTAAAACTCTGTCTACAATCGTCACTCCCTCCTCTTCCTCCTCCTCTTCCTCTGCTCTCTACTTCCTGCTTCTGAAAAACCTCAGTGACACATCTGCACGAGGACTCAGCTCAATGCACGAGTGTGTTCGAGTACTTTTTATTGTATTTTTAAAACCTTCAAAATAAACAGTACGGTTGCCATACGAGCAGCAGGAAGTGTGTGTGTGTGTGTTGTAACGTCTCCTCCCTGTTTACGAGTGTGTAGTGATTCATCTCATTGGTATGCAGATCTCTGACTCACTGCAATAATGTTCAGATATTCCTGCAGTATTCACAATATAATTAACTGTGTGTAAAGAATAAAGCAGTGATCACTCTGTATGGGATTATTAATCATTATTTATGATTTTAGTAAATACTAAAAACTGTCAATATATTCCATAATAAAACAACAGGTATATTTATTATTTCTATCTATTTTAGATTTTAGAATACTTTCATTAATAAAATATAAAAATACATTGTTTATGCTGTAAATTTCAGTGACTGATGTTTAAGGAAGAGCACAGTGCGCCTGGTACAGTGCTATAGATACCGGGCATATGTACAGTATATATATTATATAATGTTAGTTAGGAGAAAGGTGTTAAGATTGATGGTGACTTCAGCTGGAATGAATCAACACACTGACAACCTGCTGCTGTGATTATATTCTTCTATATATTCCTCTGATAATATCTCTGTAATAATCATATCGTTTATATGATTTATAGATTTACAGAGCAGAGGACAGAGGATTGAAAACTGTATAATAATTTATTTGGGGTTAAGGTCCAAGAGGAGTACCCAGTTTATAATTTTGTATTCATAGGATTTTATTAAAGAAGTCTTTACGCTATATTGTATATGTATGTGTATAATATCATAATTAACATTATGTCTACAGTCTGATTATCAATGGTTGTTTATTATTGCAGTATTTTATATTCCAGCACAGTACAGGGATGGAAACTGTAATCTGCAGTTATAAAGGATGATAGAGTCTAATAATATCTGTTTTTATAATAAATACAGCAATATATCGTATACTGAGTGTACAGCTGTTTATTAGTCTAATATCTGTGTAATATCTGTCGAATAACTATGATATCTGTATAAAATCTGTATAATTACTATAATATCAGTCTAATAACTATAATATCTTTATAATATCAGTCTAATAACTATAATATCAGTGTAATATCTGTATAATAACTATAATATCAGTGTAATAACAGTATAATAACTATAATATCAGTGTAATAACAGTCTAATAACTATAATATCTGTGTAATATCAGTCTAATAAGATTTTTGGAGGTGTTTCCTTCAGGAGGGGTGTCAGTATCAGAGTTATGAGTCACCTGGAGGTATTTTCCGCCCCCCCAACCCCGCCCACTCAATCTCAACAAACTAACCCACTTCTCCTGGACCAAATCCTGCTCCAGAACCAGGCCCGGGTTTTTGCTTACCGTGGGTCTCTTCCAGGTGACTCCCCGGACCTTGTAGGAGCTCCGACCCAGCTCGTTGAAGCCCAGGGACTCAGGCGCGGCTGGGAAGGTCGAGTCACAGAAGAGTTTTCCGGTGGAGCGGCACTGCGCCCGCAGAGCCGCGAAGTTCTGGTTCAGGTAGGGAACCGCGTTCGCGTTGGTGCCGAACCCCGCAGCCAGGGCCCGCTTCTTTGCCAGAGTGGACGCCACGCCAGACATGATGGAAGATCCAGAGACAGAGACAGAGAGACAAAGACTCCGCAGCTTCTTCTGGACGAACTTTTCCTCTCAGAGTCAGACCTCCGCCCTGAAAACCAGACTGGCAGAGGAGGAGCCAGATCTCTCTCTCTCTCTCTCTCTCATTCTCTCTCCTGCTGTCTGACAGTGTCTCTCTACCAACCCCCTCTCTCTCTGGGTTTTAAAGCTGGAAACAAACAGTTGAAAGCTACAGAAAAATAAATGGCCAAAAGTATGTGGACAGCCCTGCCCTTGTTGTCTACAGGACAAAAGTTTGTGGACAGTTCGTGGAAGCAAATTAGAGCTACTGAGTAAATGAGACTGGAAGAACAACAACAGACACACCTTCGCTTTCTAGGAACATCAGAGAGTTTAAAGAAAACAGACAGGAATAAACTTTATACAGAGTCACACAGAAACAAAAAGCGAATCAATACGAACAAACAGAACATAAAGCTGATCAATACAAACAAACAGAATATAAAGCTGATCAATACAACATTAGTCTCTAATTTTGGACTTATAATAATTATAATATTATAATAAAATAAATATAACCTAGTGACCTCTATGAACAGCTAAAAGGTCATATTAGTCAATAATAGACAGTACAGACCTCTGACCTGTATCTACAGCACTGATCTAAGCCCTGCTTCTGCAGCACCTGTCTTGTTCCGCTTCATCTAAATATGCTATGTACTGATTATAGTAAAGATTGGATAAAATATCTGCCAAAAAAACCCAAAAACAGTTAATAAGTTATTATCAAAAATGTAGCAGTCTCTGGCATCTCTGGAGTCTCTGCAGTCTCTGCAGTCTCTAGAGTCTCTGGAGTCTCTGCAGTCTCTGCAGTCTCTAGAGTCTCTACAGTCTCTACAGTCCCTGCAGTCTCTGCAGTCTCTGGAGTCTCTGCAGTGTCTGCAGTCTCTACAGTCTCTGCAGTCTCTGCAGTCTCTGGAGTC